CATCTTTCCCCCAGCTCCCACACCCACCCTCTCCCTCTCCTCCCGTACTGCGGCTCTGCCTCCCCTCGCAGTCATCCCCCTCGCCTCTTGTACCTCAGCATCCCTCAGGTACCCGGCGCCCTCCTCTCCCTCAGCCCCGGCACCCTCCCCACACTGCGAGCCTGCTCCCCCTCAGGTACCCGGCGCCCTCCTTTCCCTCAGCCCGTCCCCCCCCCCACCCCACTCACGTCTGTAATCCCAGCACCCTTCCCCCCGACCTGCCCGCACTTTTACCCCCTGCTACCCAGCACTCTCTCTCCCCATTTGGGATCTCCATGGGTGCTCCCGCATCCTTCCCCTCACTATGACCACCTATCGCTTTTCCCTGCGGTCGCCCAACCACGAACCCTGCCACCTCTGGCGCCCTGGCGTTTTCCCTCCTCTCTCATCACTGCCCAGGCACAGCTTGTACAGTACCTGGCTCTGAGCCTTCTGCACGCACGTCCTGCCAGCTCCCATGATCCTGGGGGATTTCTTACGCATTGCCAACCCCTTCCCTGTTGACTCCTATTTTCTAAGCCCCGTGCCTGAAAATGCATGTAAACCATTATTAATTGTATTAGCGGGTTGAGTTTGGTTTGCTTGTTTTGTGGCCTTTGGGGGTTTTTTGCCAGTGTCCCAGGATCAGATTGTAACTCTTCAAATGTTGATTTAAATGACCCCTTTTCTTTGCTAGTGAACTGGCTGTACATCCCCCTACTCCCCCAGTGCACCTACTGTTCGTATGCCGCTGATTTAACATGATACTTCACATTTTGCTTAACCTACTGTGTTCTGTAATTCCATGTATTGTTCTTGCAGATCTTTCTTCATTTTACACTACATTTTGTGGCACTTTGGGGGTTTTTTTCCCTCTCATGGGCTAGAATTCCACACTGCTTGGTATCTTTTGCAGGCATTTCCTCCATATTTTTTCATAATTTCTTGACTCCTATTTTTCCCTCCCTGATCTCTCTTGCTTTTCTTAGGATTGTACCTATTTTCTCTGGGATTTGTCAGCCTCTGGGATTCTTGTTGAGAAAGATGTGACTTTAACCCAGAACTTAAGTCCTGATTCTTTCTTTCTGTGACCTCCAGGCTTGTGACATGGCCACAGATGTAGCTGAGCCTGTGGTCCCTGACTGCAGAGGAGACGTAAAGAGCGGTGCCAGGTCAGATGCTGACTATCCTCTTCGGGTTCTCTACTGCGGAGGCAAGTGCTGAAGGAGCAGTTGTCCACAATTCTTACAATGTGGTGTTTGTGAGGGCAGCCTAGCAGAAAGAATGAGAGAACGGGAGATTTTCTTTTGGTCAACTTGACCTTTCTGATCGTCTTTCTGAAATGGCTTGTGTTGTGTATTTTATCTAAAGCGGTTTTGGTGAAACATAGGGGTCTTCTCTCTGAGAGATGGAGGTACTAACAGCTTTCTGCCTGTAAAAGTTACGTGAATGGGAGTGGTGGTCAGATTGTGAACTGTTGAGCAGAGATCTCTTCCTGCAGAAAGCCAGTAAAGCCTTTGGCACAGAAAAGGCCTCTGAGCATTACTATGATAATAAGAAAGTTAGAATTCATGAAAGTAGTTGTTACAGTGTGTTTAGAATTATTCTTTACTCATTACATTTGTAGTTATGTGGATGAAATTCAAAGGGAAGTAAATAATCTTGACAGGTATGGTTTTTAGATAGGTGTGTTGTTTTGCTGTGGGCTTGAATACAGTTGCAGGGGGTTAGAAAAGAATCGCCGTTGTGCATGAAATTAGTTTGGGTTTGTTCTGGGCCTGAGCCCCTCTTCTGGACATTAGCATTTCTGGGAAAAAGGAAGGTTAACCAAACCACATGGTGATTTATTGGGTGTATCTTTTGCCTCAGGTGTTTCTTTCTGTAATTTTTCCCAAAGCTGTAGGCATCTGCTTTCCTTCATTCATTGACTGGCTGCTCTTGCTGGGATAGTTTTAGCCTAATGCAGAGCGTGTAAGCAAATGACTAATGAGAGAAAAATTACAATGTGGAGTGGTATCAATAAAGTAATCTTTTTTGAGTCAATGTGTGGTTATAACCAGAAGTTATGATGTAAGAAGCCATCCCTAACTGAAAAATATGATTTTTAATTTAAGGCTGTAAGTGGAGAACTCTTTTTTTGTAATGTATTCTTTTTTTTTTCTTTCCTTTTTTCTCCAGTCTGTTCATTACCAACAGAGGTGAGTTAATTTTTCTGTTGTCAGAGTTTCTTCCTTCAGTCCTATGATGATTCTTTCTGATCTTTTCTGGCTTTTCTTAATTGTGGCAGTTCTGTGCTTCAGCTGGTGTCATCTTTAGGATGACACGAGGTTTCTTCTGTGCTAGTATAATATTTGTATTCAGTCATCTTAAGGAGAAACGGCTGAGCTGAATAGCAAATATATTTTGGTATATTTGTTTCTGACATTTTGTAGTTACTTTGCTAACGACATTCATATGACCTTCTTTTGTAGTACTGCGAATACATGCCCGATGTGACTAAATGCAGACAATGGTTAGAAAAGAATTTTCCAGATGAGTTTGCAAAACTTACAGTAGGTAAGAATCTTTTCTATTTTCTAACCGATATGTGCCCTTAGACATAGTCAGAAATCTTTGAGCTTGTCCAATTCTCATCTCTTCCCTTTTTCCCACTGTATCAACCATGAAAGTTAAGCATTTTCTTAGGAGTCTACCATGCTTTTAGATGCTGTGAAAATATATTCGATGATGTCAGGAAACACTGAACAAACAATGTAGTGTAGTTTCAGTAATAATATTGAGCTTTCTTAAGGCTTCTACTGTAACCAGTCATCCATATACTTGTTCCCCATCAAAGTTATTTTATTGGATTTTATGTCTGTCCAGTCTACTGTGGATGGCTGGAGGAAAGGTCATTAATAATAGCAAACTTGTTGATTTGCATTTGGAATTTCAGTATTAACACTATCATTAATTTCTGTTTGTCAAAATTATGTGAAGAGACTGTATTGAAATTGTAACTGTATCTTTAAGCTAAGGCTTTTCTGAAGTCTAATTTGCATAAGTACTATAATGAAGATGTAACATGCATCAGTCAAGGGGCTGCTGCACTTAAGCAGAGAGTTTACGGATTTAGCAAAATATCGCTGTACCTTATTTCCTGTTCCTGTAAGGCTGTGGTTGTCTGACCACTAATTTTGTTCGCTTTCTTCTCCCCGCACCTTTCTGATGTGTTTAAGAAAATTCACCTAAACAGGAAGCTGGGGTTGGAGAAGGCCAAGGAACTGCGGGAGAAGAAGAAGAGAAGAAGAAGCAAAAGAGAGGCAAGGTCTAAATAGTTGATTGCGGTACTGGTTGGGGGCATCCCTTTCTCACCTGCTGCTCTGGACTGTGGCACAGATTGCATTTTGGTTGTTAGCTACGCTTTGACTCTGCACAAAAGATACCGAATATCTATCTTCTAGTGATAGCAGAGATAGTGTGGTGATCTATGCTGATGAAAGAATTGCATAATAGTAATAGCAAGTGAAAGATGACCTGCATCATGTGTCTCATTGTTCCTGTCATTGCTATTGCACTTATTCAGGGTGTATGTAATTCTTCTCAACCTAAAAGCAGCTGGCATGCCTCCTGGAACACTTGTTTCTACTCTGTTTAACAGCAGTTTATAGGCTGTTTGTGGAGTAGAACAAAGACTGCTTTCCTCTGTTAATGCCTCATGACACTGCTTTTGCCTTTTTTCCTTCCACCTCTCCTCTGTATTCACGTAACAGGACTTGGGTTTATGCTTTTAACGCTATTACCTGTCTCTTCATTAACAGTTATGTCTCTTCCCAGCAATACTAATGAAAAACATTTACAAAAACCAACTTTGGAACATATAAAATATATGAAACAATTTAAACATACTTTTACCTTTTATTGTTAGAGTTCTTCCTGTTTAATTAACATTCTTTCCACCATAAATCAGAATAGTGGAGTTGTTAATATGCATTTGCCTGTGGAGTGTCAGTTGTGTCTGTAGTGCTTCAGAAGTTATGGTTAATAGCCCAGTGAGATTCAGATTTTTCAGCCAGATATCAGTGCAGATGTTTTGGTTTTGTGTCTTGGTAACCAGTTATGTTTACCTTGTCAGTAGGCTGTGTGTAGTGACAACGGTAATTTACGTGGTGTAGCTTGGATACTTTTCCCAGAGACTTCAGAACATTTTCTTTCAACGTTAATTTATTGTGTGGGGTGGCATGGTTAGTTTTCAGTCTCCTTTTCTTTTTTTTTTTTTTTTTTGTTCTAAAATAATAGTGTTTAAAATATTTAGGGATTTTTCTCCTAGAATTCTAAAATTTCAGGAAACTTATGGTATGGTATTAAGTATGATGGTATAAGATTGACCATAAGACAGAGGGTGAGGAAAAATAAGCAAAAACATACTAGGACACTGCAGAAATTTACTGAAGAAATTTTAAGACAGAAAATTACTGTCTTAATTCTACATTAGTATAAATTGATATCCAGTAATTTGAAAGTGCTGCATGTTAGAGAAGGAAGGCATCACAAGGGTTTAGTTTGCTTGTTGTAAATTCTTTAGGTTTTCATGCTGAGAAGGCTCAAGAACATGAAAGTTTGGTTGCCCTGGAGTAACTTGATGAGTATATACAAAGTTAGCCAAGATCTTAATCTGACTTGAAGAATCCTAATGAGCAGAATATATCTTTTGCATTCTCTACTCAGACTGATAAATGCCTGATCTGCAAAGTGTTCCCTCAGGTTGGCCTAGAAACAGACAGTAAGAAAGATGATGTTAAATCACGTGGAAGTTTGGCAGTCAGCTATGGTAGCTGGCTTCTGTTTCAGAGGTGTGGTGTTTTCTGCTAGCTCATGTATAGATATATGGTTCATACTGGGCTCGTGCACAGATATATAGAACTTAATCTGCCGTTTAAGCCAGCAGCCTGAGTAGGCATGTCCTCATGGCCCCAGTAAATGGACGTGAGTAAGTTCTTTTGCCTCTGACACAAACCCTGAGGGTGTTAAACTCATGAAAAACATTAAATTAACAATTTGCTCCTAGGATTACAACCACAGAAAAATTCCTGAAAGAGGGCTTAAATGTAGGCCAAATGCAGTGATTAGTAAAGTGTGGGGAAAACCCCTTTTTTGATAGTTGTAGCGAGGTTCTGCTGTGCAAGCTGTTCTTGGATGCACATTTGACATGCATATATTGTTAGTTCTGGTACTATGGAGCTTTGGTCACTTGGGACCTTTCTTAAATAATAATAAAAAAAACCCTCAATGTGAGACAATGTGCAAAATTATTTTTGTTTACCAACACAGATGGGGAGAAAACAGTTTGTTTATAGGGATGAACTCTGACCTTATATGCTTTTTTCTTTGATCAAGTATGACATCATTTAACTGATAATGTAACTTTATGCTCTGTTTTAAAGGTGGAAGAGGTCAGATAAAACAAAAAAAGAAGACTGTACCACAGAAAGTTACAATAGCTAAAATTCCTAGAGCAAAGAAAAAATATGTCACAAGAGTATGTGGCCTTGCAACATTTGGTGAGTTGGTGTTTGTTATGTGTTTTTTGTTGGGTTTAGATGTGCTTGCCTTTAACTTCATGATATAGCTATTACATTGAGTGATCTGCTTCCATCTGTGCAAAGTGAGAGTCCCAAGGTGCTTTTAGTAGTTCCAAAGCATGCCAAAGGTACACTGACTTCTCACAGCGATAAATTATTGAAGTCCTTATTTCCACAATACTTCCAAACAAATAGACTTACAGGTTTTTTTGAAACAAGGTGTCCCATAGCAGTTCACTTAGGCTTCAGATTAGTCTATTGTCTTTAATTACGAACATGTTTATTTCCAAAAGGATGCTTTTTTCAATCAAACTTGTAAATATGTTATTGACAATTATTTTTACCTGTTCTTGAGACTGATTAAGTAAGGTTTTCACTGCCTCTCTAGTATGGCAGTCAAATTATTACCAAAGTACATTAACAATGCTTTGGTTCAGCTGCTGACAGCTGCTTGGTGTTTACAGCTATAACACCTTCCTTCTCACATTGACCATGAATTCTGTTAAAAAGGGAAGATGTAACCGTGGTTGTGTTAACAAGATATGTTACACATTTCCTGTGTGAGCGTATCATCAGTTTTGTTGAGGTATCAGTAACATGCTATAGCTTGATTTGAACTGGATACGTATCTTTGTGCTGCAAGCCAATCTTAAGAATTGTTGGGATGTGTTTCTGAGAGGAACATATAGAAGCACTTCTATGGAAAAACTTGTTCGATAGCTATGGAAGTTTTTCAGAACTGGAAGGGCTTTTAATCAGTTCTGCATGTGCATTTCTGGTAAGTGCGTGCAGCATAGACCTGTGTAAACAGAATGTGTAGAGGACATTCAGTGATTTTTACCTTGAAGAGTTTGCTAGATTTGTAGAGTCGGTTGTTTTGTATGTAAACAACAGACTTTTGCTTTCGATGGAAACTAGCAAAGCTTTAACTATAAACTGCCACTTTTTTTTTCAACAGTTAAAACAAGATTTTGGTTTTAAACTTGAGAAAATACTTCTGTGACAATGGCTGTACTTAAACTGTCCATTTTCCTGTCAACAGAAATTGATCTTAAGGAAGCACAAAGATTTTTTGCTCAGAAATTTTCCTGCGGTGCCTCAGTAACAGGAGAAGATGAGATCATAATTCAGGGCGATTTTACAGATGACATTATCGATGTAATCCAGGAGAAGTGGCCTGAGGTAATAAACCCTTTCTTCTGTCAGAACTCCAGTTTTCCACAATAGCCTGTGACTTTCCAATGATTTTGAAGAAGGGTTTCATCTTTGGCAGCACAGATTGTTGCGCAAAGACAAAAGATCAGCTGTTGCATTCCCAGCTATGAATGGCTAGGTTAAGGAGGGATTAAACTTGAAGTCAAGCGTTGCTTCCGTTGTCCAAGAAATGTCAACTCCCTGAACGTGTAGTGCTGCTGCTGTGGACACTGGTTTCTTAATGGTGAATGTATAAATATTCTTACATTGCCATCCTATTTTTCAAAATCTCTTAAAATATTGCAAAGTTAAAACAAACAATATTGGATATTGAGTGTGACATGTGAGAAGAAAGTATCCTTAATATGTTGTGCTTTGGCCTTTTTTTTTTTCCTCTAGGTGGATGATGATAGCATTGAAGATCTTGGAGAAGTCAAGAAGTGATAGTGAAAGACTACCTTTATTTAATTATATGGTTATAAATGATGTAGCCAAAGCGAGGCTTCTAAGTCCATTTGCTCTGCAGTGAAACTGTGGAGAACCCGTATCCTTGGCATTTTCACTGCTCTGTATAGGCTGCTTGTTTGTTTTTGTTTTGGTTTGGGGTTTTTTTTTTTTGTTGTGATATTTGCCAAAGTTAAATTGGGGTTCTATCATGCTTAGGCATGAAGTAGATTTAAATAAAATTACTGTTCCTCACTGAATACAGTTTCTGTTTTCTTTACAGCTACTTTCCTCTAACAATCTTACAGGAAAATAATAATTTAAGTCATTAAAAGCTTATTTTTCATCTACTGTCTTTGTCTGCTGAACTGAATTAGGGATGTGGCTGAAGTACAGAAACTCCTACCTCTGATTTACCTGCATAAAATCTTAGAATGGGACAAACTAAAGGTTCTAAAGGTTTGTTAACAATTCAAGGAAAATGAATCCTGAAGTGGTCAGGCAGTTGGACTGGACGGTCGTGGTAGGTCCCTGCCAACTGAACTGTTTTATTTAGTGGAAACACTGAGGAACGTGTGAATGTCTGAAATGTTTAGCCTGTTTCGTAATTCCAAACAATCTCCGAAGCTGCTGGTCTTCTAGGTGGGGCAATTTTAGTGGCTTTCTGCTTTCAGCATACTGCTAGTTCATCAACAGTGGTAACGAACACAACTTTATCGTGCCCACTGTTTGTTTCCACCACCTGCTCCTGCAGCAGTGCCAGCTGTGCTGCTCCGCTCTCTGAACTCCCGCAGGCAGCCTTGGGCATCCATTCAGTGCTTTGTATGTCGCTGTAGAACCTAAATGAGTTGAAACCTGAGAGGATGATGCATTGTATGCCCTGTCCTCTATTGGTAAAGTGCCTTTTTTTTTCTGTGATTTTTGTTTATAAGCCAATCTGTTTAGTTGGGGAGAGTGTGTCTAATGAGATAACTGTATTGCTGTAGTTGTTCCATTTAAAAGCTGAGCAGGGTAGTCGCCGCCATCCCACTCGGGTTCTTACTCGTCTCCTATTAGCAAAATCATTAATTTTCATTTTTTTCCAGGCAGCTCCACCGGCGCAGCTCGGCCTCAGGGGAGCGCGGGGCTCGAACCCGCGGTCCCTCCGCTGCGGGGA